AATTTTTGTCCGCAAATAATACCGAAGACAATAATCGGTCAAATTGTGTCGCAAATTGTGAGTTGAAAAGTAAAAATTTTATTGTTTGTAAAATGACTACTTGTGACAACATAAACCTCAATCAAATGTGACTTATGTTATGTAATATATTTTTAGTAAATTAATAACTTATCATACTAACATTATAATTTAAAGATAAATGTACAATAATTTTTACAATGACATAACATATGTATGTTATTAAAAAATAAATATAATACTAATATGCCCATAGAAAATAATTATTATAGTGTTCTTAAAGTATAAGTATTAACCTTATTCAAATTATATTACTTTATTAAATTTATGTATTATGATTAAAATTATTTGTAATAAAATTAATAATAAAATTAATATATTACGGCAGAAATAATTTTTACATATAAAAATTTGAATAAAATACTGTATTATTACATAATAAGTTATTTTTTACAAATTACTACTATTAATTTAATATTTATATTTTCTCATAGTATAATCAATACCCTTTAATTTATTTAATGATTATAATTATGTTTACAAATATCGCTAGTCACATTTAATATATAATATATATAATATATTTAATATATATTTGAAAATAAAATAAACTATTGCAAATAATAATTGCTCAAATTTATTGATATTTTTTCAAAATACTAAATATTACTGTAAATCACATTTTTTAGTCACACTATCGGCCCACTCAACCACATACTTTTGACCTAACTTATCACCCAGGGTAATACCTAGGGATATCTCAGTATTGCCATCAACCTGGCTAGCCGACACCTCCTTACCATCCAGGGTAGCCTTAATAGGGTTGGCCGACTTAACCGTGTTCACCACCATCAATTTGCCCAACTCCGGGTGCGCCTTACCACTATAGCCACTTTGCTCAACGCTGATCACCATGCTACAATTACTGGCCATTTCAAAATGGTACAGGTTGAATTTCTTAGCCTCAATGGTGTCTATGCTTTCCCCGTCGTCCCAATACAGCTCACCGGAGGCCTCCATATGATGACAGGGAAGGGCTACTAAATCCAAGACATTGATAGACTCTTGGGAAGTGGATATGAGTTGACTGTCGGTGACCATCGGTATGATGTTGTGGTCCCTAAAGTGTATGGGCGGCGGGCCGTTGGGCTGGGAGTCCGGTATAGTCACGTGTCCTGTTTGTGGCGCTAGTTTTAGGTGGGGTTTCACTTCATACCAGCGCACGCTAGGGGGTAGGTATGCCTTCACTTCGGTTTGATTCTGTATGCGAAAGGGATTACTATTAGGGACAGTAGTCGAGAGAGAGAGAGAGAGATCGGATAGGCATACCTCAAAAAGAAAAGGCGATATCAATATATTGCCACCCCATAGGAACTGGGTGTCTATTCCATATGTATTATTATCCAGGGGCCATTCATGAAACAATGGTCTGACCACAGTATCACCATAGGCATAGGACCGGTAGAACAGTGTGTACAAGTAGTGTATCAGTTGATACCGGAGCTGTAGGGAAGCCCTGGCAGCGTCAGTCACTTCAGGGTGACCCTGTAGAGCCCAAATAGCCGGGTCCTGGTCCTGGGTAACTGTTTTCTCGTTATGATTCCGGGAAAATGGATAGAAAGCCCCCAATTGGGACCACCTACGACATAGGTCCGGGGTAGTGGCACCCAGAAAACCACATATGTCTGAGCCCACCTAAATAGTGTAATTAGATAAATGTCCTAATTTGTTTAATCTTAGATATATGTGCTCACAAAACTGATCCCGAACATATTGGACTCTAGCATGCCCACAACGGAATGGTGCATCATGGGCCAGGTAGCTTCATTATCGCCTAACCAGTGGTTGCCATACCGGCCCGATGTCACGTACGTACTTCGCGAGACTACAAAACCGCGTTTACCAGTTACCGCGTGAAGTGCCCTGGTCACATAAAATTGTGTTTATTATTTATTTTAATTATTCATTTAATTATTATACTTTTGGGTGGCAATAGACTCTGTCAGTCCGTATAGTGAGTGCACATCGTAGTGCATGTATTCACCGGAGTTTCCCTGTATGCCGACCATACAGATGGTCATCCTGGACAGTTGCATATCGGAACCACCCCATACAGTTGCTGTATGTATATTTCATAATGTAATTAATTTCTAGAAAATATAGTTACAATGATACCATCATACTTGATTTAATTGGCGGGTAGTCGTATTTATTAATTGGGCACCTGGACTGGAAATTTGAGGGCTCATTCATATCCTACGTAACAAAATTATTGAGTAAGTAAGTGAGGTAATAGGTAAGTTTTAAAATATTTAGATGTTAAATGAGCTACTCACAATCCAAAGTGCGTCAAACGGTAATACACCGTGAAACGTTTTTACCTGCTCCACCCACCACACCAAGGTGTCATTTTTGAAAAAATCTGGAAATGCAGCCGGGTCCTGTGGCCACACAAAGCCCCATAGAGTATCCTTGTCGGTGGGCACATTAGCCGGGTTAGATCGGTCCTTTTCGGGCACACTCTTAGGCCATTTGACAAACACGTCCTTTGTGTAACCCTCGTCAAATGTCGGATACCTATGTAACTCATTACCCCCGTCTATAGCAGGGTCCAACATCAGGGTCCAGTGCAGATTATTTTTGGTTTTTGTATCATTAAACAGCTCCGGTAGTCCAGCGAATGCTTTTTTGTCATAAGTAAAATCCATGAACTTATCCATATAGTCGATGTCGAGATACATGGTATCCTATGGTAAGTATCATAATAATAAAAATATTAGCTAGCAAATTAAAATTATTAAATTAATTTCTAGAAATATTAGCTTAATAAATAACTACCAAGGGTATCTTAGCCTTCAAGTTTCTATCAATCACTTCCCTAACGTTTTGGGTACCGGTGTACCCGAATCGGCACAGTTGGTACCCGAGCCCCCAAAAGGGGGGCATCGTTGACCTCCCGATGACCGACGTATACAACTGTATCACGTGTTCGGGATTATCGCCCAAAAACACGAAAAAGTCGAGGACTCCACCCATTGTTTTTAACGCCAGGGCCGGTTCCGGCAAAAATTGATACTCTAGGTAAAATTAATAATTAATTATAAAACTATATATAACTCAATAAATTTCGTCAGACATACCCATCGCGTTACTATTGAGAAACAGTATTCCGTGTGCTTTGCCGTCGGTTTCCAATACTGTATAGAATGGATGAACTCCATAGAGATTTTGAGTGTGCTAGGTACAAAAGTTTTAAATATGTAACTATTTATTTATAGTTATTTAGAATTGTATTCTAAATTTTGCATATAATATTAGAAGTTTACAGTATTAAATCAGGTTTTGACAAATACCTCGCCTAGGTGGTTATCCCTACCAAATAGTGGCCAGGTCCTGTAATTTAGGTCATGTCTGAGGGTCTGGTGAACATTCTCACCAAATCCATAGACATTTTTTGTGGCCAAACCGGTAGCTATTTGTAAGTACTGATCAGCGAATACCAGTCCACCTATGGATGTGTCGAATCTATGAATATAAAAATTATTTGACGTTATTTATTAATTTTTAAATTTATAAATTTTAATTCACATTTTAGTTTTAGTTTCCTTTCGAGTAATTGTAAACTGGAAGTCCTTGGTGTCTGCGCTGACATCTACCGAATACCGGCGCTTCGACTCATCCTTTTCCACTTTATCCATGAGATTGAACACCTGTTGCACCGGTACTTCATAGCGCTTATTCTTGGCGTCCCTTATCGTAAACCTCACAATATTTTCGGTCATATATTTAACGGTGAACTTTAGGCTCTCGATCGACGGCATAGACTTCAGGGTCTTTTTAGCCGTGTCTTTAAGCTGTAGGTCAACCTCTTGGCCCTCATCAGTCTTTTTGACAGCACCGGGCACTTCATATCCCACTTGCTTGATGTCCAGATAGCATATGGGTATACCGTCAGGTCTTTTAACGGAGTCCCATATACAGCCCCTGTCTTTACATTCTTGTTCATTTAATTTCATATCACCTAGGTATAATAAAATTAAATCTGGATAACTAATCAAAAGCCAGTTAATAGTTAATAAATTACAAAGTATGCATTTTAAGTATTAGTTTAATTTAATAATAATTGATAATTTCACTAATTATAATATATCGTATGCTTTAACAAAAATTTAACCCGAATAATTTAACATTTTATCTAATTTATTTAATTTATTTAAATTAAAACAATTACTAATAAATGACTTTACATTAACTGGTTATTACTGTAAATTATTCACACATTTATAGCAAAATAATTTAAATTCTCATATTTATGGCACTTATGGAGCACTAGTTGCCATCTATTGAGTGAGAAAGTGCTTAAAAACGAGAGTACAGTCGATGCGCGCAATGCGTTCCCACTGCCTATACTTATAGCATTAGCGCACCATTACGTCTATCGAACATGAAAGGCAAACCCCAATCTAGTGGTAACTGTGCATTTTGGTGGGGTAGACATTTGTAATACAGTGTTAAATGCCCTTTTGGCCCTGCCCATTTGCACTGTTAAGCATTTGCCGCATGAAATTTAATTTGTACTAAAAATCCAGAGGGAGATCACAGCGACGGTCAGTATGTATGAAGTGTTGCCGATAGGAGGCGTTTGTGTGGCGTTTGGGTCCCGTATTGAAGTGTTTTGACAATCAATGCGAGAGTAATACACAAATGCGGTGACAGTAATGTGTCAATAATGAGACCCCATTTGCATACATTACAACGAACACTGAATAGCACACACAACACACTCCCCATACATATAGCGTAACGTATTTCTGAACGATAAGTGTTTCACTCAATGCTAGATAAAAGTGAAGTAAAAACTTTATTTTTAACGAATTGTCGCCACAATTATCACCGAAACTGATCCCTAAGACACTGACCACTGGACACATAACACAGTCTGTCAATGAATGGCGTTTGTGTCCACTCTTAACGTTAGTTTTCTATCGATTTGCGAGAGAGAGAGAGAGAGAGCTATCGACTAGACATAAGTCTCTTATTTAAATCATTTGAAAAATATAATTTAATATTTTGTGAATTTAGTTAATGTTTTAAGGGTTGGGAGGGTAGGGGTTAGTTAGTGAGTGAATGAGTTATTAAAGTTTTTCGAGAATTAATTTAAATTAATTTAGTGTTTATTTATTTATTAAGAAAATAATAAATTTAAGAATTTAGTCAATACTTACGCTCCAAATAACAGTCCAAACGGTTGTTTAGGTTATCGGCTAAACAGCCGCTGAACACCAAAACTATTAACACAAATAATTTCATAGTTGCTTACAATGTCCTGGTTAACATAAACTAAAAGTTAATTAAAACTTTCACTTTAATGTTATACAACACTGTTCATTATTAATAATTATAAAACGAATTATTAGGTGCTTATTAACCAACAATGTTTTTTTAACCACTTATACTGTATATCCTTTTTATAAATGTACTGGTACAGTATATCATGTAATCTTATAATAGATAAAGGTAAATAGGTACGACAGTTTCAAGTGTTTGTGCTCCAGTATTAAATATAAAAATGGTACATACATCTTATCAAGTCACAATACAGTATTATTCAATTTAGTAAATAGTTATACCGGTAGTTGACTTTTAATACCTTATTTATAAAATTAAAAAATAATTTTCTAATAATATTCTTATTACTTTTAGCTAAGTTTTTAATGTTATATTATAATTGATAAATTATTAAGGTTATAAAATATGCAGTATTTAATAATATTAGTTATTATATTCTAAAGGTTTTGTGTAATAAATTTTACTTGAACAATAATATAGCATTTAATATAAATAAATTATATTCATTATAAAAATAATATTTTATTTTACATTTTATGTACACATTAATAGTATAAGTTACACTGTGTAATTACACTATTATAAAGTACCTTTATCAAATTAGTTGGCATACTATTTTAAATGTTTAATTAACATTTATTTCATATCAATATAATTATTGTAAATCACATTTCTTAGCACTATTGACAGTATTGTCATTGCCCTGGCTAGCCAACATTTCCATACCCATCCAGGGTAGCCTTTATAGGCTTGTCCTACATATACTAAAACTACATGATGCTATCACAACGAGCATGACAATTTTAGTTATAAAAATATATACTATGTACAGTATTAACTACCGTAAATATAAAATTTTTATCTAAAAAATATTAGGAAATGATTGTGATAGATAAGTTATTGTGCAATAGATGGTGTGATACAAATTATTATATTTATATATAATATTATAATATTTATAAGTATTACTGTATAATATACTAATAACTGGAAGGGTATGCAAACAATCCTTGAATTTTCCTATCAATTACATTATAAACATTTCATAACTTTTGGTAAATAGTTATTTGAATTACACATTAAACTAATAAACATTTAGTTATGTTATAAAACATACTTTGAAATTCATGTTATTTCTACAAACTTAGTACTTAATATGCGGTAATATATTATACAATGAAATACATAGCATTATTTCATAGCAATTATCACATTGTTACTTATATACTTTAATTAGCTGATATGTCTAGAAAATAGTTAATTTTTGTGATAAACACATATTTGCTATTTTATAAAAGTGAATAATTTATATTGTTATATTTATTTTTTAAATTCAGTATAATAATAATAATAATTTAAAATATTAATTCAAATATAATGTCAAATATATTAACTAATTTCGCTGTATGTGCTAACATTAACGAAAATGTAAAATCGTTAATAAATATATTATATGTGTTTGATGATTTAAATGGTCAAAATGTGTTATATGTCACCATGGACGATTTAGTATATGGGGCTGGTAGTAATCGGTACGGCCAACTTGGACTAGGGCATGACAATGAGCAAGCATCACCACAAATTGTGCCTGAACTATGTCATATAAATATTAAACAATTTTTTAATGGAGAAGATTTTGTGCTGGCTATAAATAATAATGGCGACCTATATAGTATGGGCGAAAATGGGTATGGTCAATTAGGTAAACCACCTGAAACAAATAAATTTTTTAAACCAGACATAATAGAAAAGTTTAAATCGGAAAATATTAAATTTAACATGATACGTTGTGGGGAAAGTCATATTTTGGCTTTAACTGTCCACGGTAAGGTATACTCATGGGGGTGGAATTACATGGGTAAGGTAGGGTGCGGAAAACAATATGGCGATAACATATGGGAACCGTAACTTGTACAATTTCCCGATAAGGAAATTATTACCAATATTAGAGCATGTCAAGATTCATCATTAGCCGTAACAAATACGGGACTAATTTTCATATGGGGTTCAAATTTAAATGATTTTGAGCATGATACTCCATATCTATTAACATGCTTTAACAATATGAGAGATGTGTGCTTGCTGGAAGATATTTTGTATTTAATTAATAATGAAGGGCATTTATACCCCTACGAGTTTAAAATGAAGCGTGTGACCATGATAAATAATTTATCGTTCGATATGATTTATTATATAGATTCTTTTGACAATAGTAAACAATATCTAGCTACTATTTGCGATAATAAAATATATAAATTGCTAGATACAATGAATATAATGGAAACTAATTATAAATCAATTCAAGAGTTTTATGCTAAGGAATGTGAAGTGACATGGGGTACTTTGTCATTAACTGATAACCATGGCAATCATATAATTAGTAACTTCAGTGACTATGATGGTAAAATGAATTAATTAAAATATAATTTGTCATATAAATAATTATACTATATAATTTTAATAGAAACAACATGTTCTAGCTCAAATAAACATTCAAGCTCTTATAACATATTGACCGATATAGGTTCAGGTGGATGTGGAACTGTGTATAAAATTGAAATAAAAAATACTAAACAACTTTACGCTTTAAAAGTGTGCAACATTGATGGTAACTATTTTAGCAAGTTATACATTGTGTTATAGATGTGACCCACCCCCATAAAACGTCTAAACCCAAAAATGCCAAAACACAAAAAGCCCTAATACTGAAAAGTTATAACTTATAACCTTTAATAAATAACTAACCAATGAAAATTTTAAATAATTTATGTTAAGTTAGGTTATGGTATTTTATAAATGATTCTCTTATATTAATAAAATACAAAATAGGCGTTTAAGATTTTTTGGCATTTTTTAGAACTGTTATAAATACCTATTGGGGAATACAATATTGTTGTTTCTGGCTATAATTTAAATATCTCTCATATTGTTAAAGCATGTTAA